TATTATATAATATATAATATATATATCATAATAAGCTTATATAACTTGATAACTCAAAGGAAAATTGAACAGTAAAAAACTGTGCTTCGACGGAGTCTTTCTAAGAGGTTGCCCATCACTGCTGTGGGAATTGTAGTCTTCTATGCTCTGGTTGACTACAGACGTCATGATTAGGTGGCCTTTCTTATCAAAACGAAATACTGGCTCTAACAGGAGTGTTATCTCACCCTTGTTGAGGTTGACGTAGGCCTTGCCCCAGGAGTCTCGGTGCTGCGTGGTGAGGATGCCCACGGGCTCCATGTTTGTTTGAGAGGAGGAGCTGCAGATCCTCTCCAGCTGAACACAGAACTGATCCGCTGTCAGTGGAGTGCCATCACTGTTGTACACCTCCAACACAAAGAACTGAGTGCATGTGGAGGGAAGACAGGAAAGGCTCAGTCAGGCTTCTCATATAGTAAGCACACAATCATCTTTATTTTACTCAAACTGGACGACTGAACTCTACTGTGCTTGTTGACTTTTCTAGAGCATTAGTGTAAGACCGTGTGAAGCTTAAAGAGCCATTCTAAATGTGACTTGTGATCTGGATCTGGATTAATACTGAGCAAAACCCAGAGATATCGCGCTCAGTGGGGGATGAGTATTCCCCGCTGAATCTCTATTTAGCATGTTTCACTCTCTGATTGTTCTTGAAAAGAATGAGTATTTCAGAGTGTCACTAGATGTGGATATTGTTAACTTACATGCACTATTTCTCTTTCTGTCTGATGTGTTCACTTTGAGTTTTATCGTGAAGAACCGTCCGGAAGTGTTACCAGATGTTGTCAAGTGTTACGTGGGAGTTACGTGTTGTATGTGTTATCCGAAGATGGCGGTGTGCTGAAATAAAGTGTCGTGCTAAGACAAAAGTGTGTCTTATTATCGAGTAACAGATATTCTCTGGAAGTTCAAGGAGTTAGCTTTGCAGGGCCATCATCCTAAGAGGCTTTAGGGTATATTGATGCATCAAGGGCTGAGACGTTATGGACAATCTTGAAGAAGAGAACTAGTTCAACCGTTTTGAGCATTTCTGTGACACTGCTGTCCAATTTATAATCTCTAACTGCACCTCTACGTTATACTGTTTCCAGAGCATCCTTTTCTTTATAGGTGATAATTAGGCCCCTGGTACCAGAAGAGCTTAAAGGTCCCATGTCATGGCCATTTCTACTGATCATAATTCCATTGTTGAGGTCTACTAGAATAGATTTATAATGTTTTCCAAACTGACATTGGTTTCTCATACAGCATCTCTGTATAGTATGTGTATTCACTCTCTGTGAAGCCCAGTGGCCGTCTGCGAGACAGCGAGACACATCGAAACTCAGCCCGAACACACACCCGCAGCCTCGCCGCGTTAACCAGCGGAGCAGCAGCTGAGAAAAGATTAAGTGAGTGTGTGTGTGTGTGTGTGTGTGTGTGTGTGTGTGTGTGTGTGTGTGTGAGGAAGTCCGTGGATTGGTCCAAATTGACCAATCCGCGGACTTCCTCACACACACAATGTAACGGCTCCGCGGACGTAATGTAACGGCTCCGCGGATTGGTCAATTTGGATCAATGGGTCCATTTGGGTATGGGCACATCACTGTACCCAGGAAGAAAAAGAGAAATGTCCATCGAGGCGTTCTGGGGCAGCATAGACAGGACTGTGTTAGAGTTTTACTCCCTACAGGGTGTACTTTGAGGGTTTGTGACTCTGCAGACCGTTTACATGCAGAAAAACCTTCATAACACACAAGGGGATGGGTAATAACCAGAAAAGCATGACATGGGCCCTTTAAGCAAATGTGCAACGTTGACCAGTGTAGTTCCGTCTAATCCAAAAATGTATGTATCCACAAGTAGCAATAAGATTGACTCCAACAAAAATACGTCTCCGGTAAGTTTGGTTGACTCTTTACTTAAACAAAAGATATCAGTACAAACACATATTTTCAAAGGTCAAAAAAGGATATCGCTCCGTGATTCTTTTCTCCTTCTCATTACCAGCAGCTGCGGTCGGCTATGACGTCAATTTTACAACGGCTGGTTTAAATAAATGATATAATAATAACACTAATAACAAAGGATTGCAATGTTCAAATATATCTATATACACACAAAATATATCAAATTATACATTTTAACATATGCCTCCTACAACCAGTGTTCACTCACCTGATGGTTGTGCACTACAGTGATGTGTGTCGGGGGTCTGGAGCCTTTGGCATGGTTCACCACCGAGTCGCTCTTCAGGCCGGGGATACGGCAGGACGACAGCACCTTGTAGTACTGATTCATACACAGGGGCTTCGCTCCCATAAATTCAACTGGCAGGGTCTCACTGCAAAAAATATTCATGACTCAGCTGATTAGTTACAATATTCAAAGCGCTACGGTGTTTTAAAACGTGGGTTCACTCGTGTGAAAAAAGCGTATTATTCCAAATGATGTTATAAATAGACTCTCCACTAAATTGGGAGAATCAAATCAAATCAATCTTTATTTGTATAGCCCAATATCACAAAACACATTTGTCTCAGTGGGCTTTACAGACTCAAACAAATAACAACATTGTAAATGATGGAGTTACAGCTAAATGAAAATACAAGATAGAAAAGACCTGTTCCAGAACAACAGCGTACAAATCAGCTGGCTTAGTGATGATTTGTGACAATTGTTAATGTAATAAGCTGCATTTTCATACTGTGGACCTTTCTTTAAGAAGGAATGGTAGACTGCGTGACCCAATAAGAACACAGTTGTTTACTTGTTCTTATTATAGGCAAGAAAAGCAACCGGAGGCTAGGAGACAAATCCATTAATAGGACTAAATAAGCAGGAGTCAACAAGGAGGATATTATGAGCACGGTACTCACTTGTCAATCATTGTCTTAAAGTCCAGAACACCTGCTATCAGTTTGGCAGCAAACCTAAACAGAGAGAACATGATGTTATTCAAAAAATAGTTCAGAAGTGATTTTTAAATGACCAAACCATTCGTGTTTATGGTTAAAATATACCAATATGCATCTAAATCAGATAATCATAATGTATGCTTTCATTGTTTCAGAGTAACACAAGAATGCATCTCTGCTACCTGTCTGGAAATGGGTTGGATATAAACTGAGAGGACATGTGATACCTTATTTGTCCCTGTTTATCTCTGAAGTTCATGCGGGGTAAGACCAACCCGGGACTTGAATGCACCACCACGGGCAACCGGTAGTCCAGATAAGCAATCTGCACCCACCATTGTGACAACTTCAAAGACAGAGAGAAACAGAGTCAATAACAGATCAATAATACACTCTATGAAAAGGAAATAGGTGAAATGTCAGAGGGGTTTTCAAATACATTAGGCAAAGAACAAAATCCTCACAGGTCGTGTCAGGGCAACGCATCTCAAGTCAATTTGAATTAACTTAAAAATAGATTAAAAAAAGATTATATGATAATGATAATAATTATAAATACTATAACACTTATAATGACTATTATCATGATTACCTTAAAGGTCCCATGACATGGCCATTTCTACTGATCATAATTCCATTGTTGAGGTCTACTAGAATAAATTTACATTGTTCAATGTTCCAAACTCAGATTGGTTTCTCATACAGCATCTCTGTATAGTATGTGTATTCACTCTCTGTCCTACACGGCTTGTTGGAGCTCCTGCCCCCCCCCCCCCC